CTGTCTCTCTCTCTTTCTCTCTCTCTCTGCTCCACCCCTACTTGGACTGTCTCTCTCTCAAAATAAATAAATAAATAAACTAAAAAAAAAAAAACGTAGTGGATAGTGATATATCTTATAAAGTCTATTTGGGGTTTACTTGTGGAATTAAGGTCAGTGTCACCATAATGAAAATCAGCGCAAAAAAGTCTTTCAGAAATCATGTCCAAACATTTGGGAGCACCTTAGATATGAAATAAAATGGCAATAAGGACGTGTCATAATAAAATAAAAGTAGCCAGTAGAATATTTCATCTTACTGTGTCAATTTTATAAATGTGAAATGAAGCAAAAGGCCCTGTCACAGAAAAATGATTTTCAAAATCCTGAAATTACTTCATTCAGTTCAACAGGAAGTACACAGAATCTCTCTATCGATCAAGATGTTTTGTGTGACTCATGTTTTATAAGACAATGATGAAAAACTATAAACTAGAGTTTGTTCAAAAAGCAACTTCTAGAATTTGCCTTCGATTCACTGTTAATACGTCTCTATATCGGCCTTTGACACGATTGTGTCTTCCTCATCTCTCAGAGGCCCCCTCTAATAAATCTGAACAAATGGGTGAATGAGCAAATGGCAACTAAAACTGAGATACCAGGAGACTATAACTCATGGAGGGGGGGAAAAAAAAAGGATTCGGGAGCCATTCAGACTGAAAAGAGAAAATTCTAGAAAAAAAAAATTAACAGGAAGAACTAGAACCAAAAGGATTTTCTGATTAACCCCCCAGCTAATTATAAGATTTAATTACCCAGAAGAACCTAGTATCTCTTCATTTTATTTGAGATTTTACTGTGTTTAAAATGATGCTGTCCAAGCGTTCTTATTAATATTGAATGAAAGTGGAAGAGAATTGGCTAACTGAATTTCCTGAGCTTAGGTAAACCGTAATTAGGAAGCGTTAGGAGAGTATCCCAAGAGACCTATCCATCTCAAAATGGAGCGATAGAATTACAGATGAAATCCGACAAGGAAACAGCACTACGTAATCATCCCTGAAAATACGAAACACAATTACTGGAATGTGGTGCCGGGTTCTACGCAGCGCACTCAATCGCGTCACGTCTCATTCCATGCACCTCCAGAGCAATAACCCTACTCAACAAACCTCAACTCCCGATTACATTAAAATCTACCAATCTCCTATCTGCCATTCGCAATTTCCTATCTGATAGAATGTGCTGCTGTTATTTCACTTAAAATCTGGAATAATCTGAACCTGCTTCAATCAGAGCTCCTGCGTCTGGGTATGGATTTGGGGGGAGGGGGGTTGGATGTTTACTTTTAGCTTTGCTGTCTTGCGTCCGAGCCTGGAAGACCTCCTGGGCGCTGCCTGCCAGACTCGGAAAGGACCATTTCAGGCCACTTCTGAGAGGACCTCTTTCCCGGGGCTCAGGTTCTCCTTTAAAGTGCCTTCCCTCTGGGGGCTATTTCCTCTTGCTTGTTAACTAGTTCCTACTCCCATTTCCTACTCATCCGAAAAACTAGTCTCTGTGAATAGGATCATACATGGCAATGAGTTCTAATGAGTTTTTAATGTATTGCACTTCACAGTGAACGAATTTGCATTAAAAAAAAATGCTTTTGGGGCGCCTGGGTGGCGCAGTCAGTTAAGCGTCCGACTTCAGCCAGGTCACGATCTCGCGGTCCGTGAGTTCAAGCCCCGCGTCGGGCTCTGGGCTGATGGCTCAGAGCCTGGAGCCTGTTTCCGATTCTGTGTCTCCCTCTCTCTCTGCCCCTCCCCCGTTCATGCTCTGTCTCTCTCTGTCCCCAAAATAAATAAACGTTGAAAAAAAAAATTAAAAAAAAAATGCTTTTAAAGAGGTCTTCTTCTGTCCCTAAGTCCAACCCCATTTGCAAGGAGAGCCCCCGCTGTGGTCTAGGCTGAGTACTGCCATCGCTTTGAGCCTCTGGCAGTGCTCTGGCCCCTCTGGCCTCCCTAGTCCCCACAACCCAAGTCCCTCAACCCAAGTCTCAACTTCCGACCCCACTACCAAGGGACAGATTGGCCTTTCCCGGTTTTCACCTTAGGGATCCCTCTCGGTCATGGCCAGCAATCACTGTGACTACCCTCACATCACTGACATCTGGCTCCTGTCGCCCTGGACAATAGCTGCCCTCACCCAACCCCCAGCTCTAGCCTCCCGGAGCCTCACACCATCCCACCCACCCACCAGTGGCCAAGCCAGCCCCAGCCCCTCTTGACGGGCTCAGAGAAATTAGTAATCCAATCAAGGGTGCTAAAGTGGGAACTGAGACTCTGGAGCAGCCCCAAATGTTGGACAGAGAGGAGCTCAGGCCCATGGGAGCCCCCATTCGCCCATTAAGTGTCAAGCAACAGGCCTGACGAGGCCACGCACAGGGATGACCCTGAGTGGGGACCGATGTGCTATGAATCCCTAATGTGAGCCTAGGGGCTCCATCCACTGCTACATCAAAAAGGCTGCATCAGTTTGAAACTGCGTGTTCCCCAAACACAGGCCTTTTAGGTACTTTGCCTGCAAGAACTTTACAGGAATGGGTCTGTAATCAACGTAAGTGCATATTAACGCCACAGAATCAAGGAGAAGTTCAGATAAAGGCACATGCAGCACTAGCGTTTTCGTTATCTAACACACCTCTTTTTTCAATTCTATCAAAAATGGAATCTGTTCTATTTATTCTATCCACTGAATGCATTTTTTTTAATTCAAGAAACACAATATTCAGAATAATTACTTTTATTACAGCCATGGGTTTTTCCTTAGGCAATGAACGATTCCATCTAATTCAGCTGCTTATTATCTTTTTTTCTCAACTCCTGTATTTCTTTCCCAGTAATAACATATATTTTCTCAAGTTTTAAAATCTCTTTATTAGACACAATTGAATGTAATTTGGGATTTACAAGTCTTATCACATTCTGCTTCTGCCTGAGCGATTCTGAACACAGGAAGTACAGACTGCATGTATTTCTTCAGAGTCCCTCTAACTTTTTGCTTGAGATTTGTGAAAAAAAAATTATGGTTCTTGGACATCTTTTCATCTAGTCACTGCTGCAGCATCTGGAAAACACCAGGAGCCTTACTTATCCAATGCCCCACTCTGACACTTCTCACTTACAG